GTGCTATTTATATTTACGTATATTTACCATATAGCAGGTTATTTGCACAAAAAAATGGATATATGTACATACATTTAAAATGCAACGATTTATTTATTTAGTAGGTGGCGGCAGGCGGCAGTGACTGAACAATCCCGCATATTCCAATTAACACAAATACACACAAAGGCACAGGCAGAGAGAAAGTGCGAGTGTGTGTGTGTGTGCCTGTCATTGGCATATAAACAATAAACAATAAAAACCTATAGCCGATGTGGCACGACTCTAGGATATCCTGCGCTCTTAACAATTCTCTCTTGACATGATAAGAAGTCTTTTAAATATTTAAGTTTTTTCAATTGTTGCAATAGAAAGGAGTAAGGCTTGGGCTCCTTCTTCACGTACCCTATCCACCCTGACAATCCATATACCCCTCTGCACACCCACTAATAAATCAAATTATTTAAAGAAAAAATATATTCATGTCAACTTTAAGCCGATTAATGATGTACGCGTGTCCCTGGCAAACGAAAGCGAAACGACTCGCCTCGGCCATCTATTAAAATCAATTAAAATGCACCAGCAGCAGCGGCAGAAGTTTTAATTTAAATGCATTAATCCCAGTGGGGCAATAAATTTGTAAAATCAAAATGACAATTTGCCCGAAATTGTTTGTCTGTCGTTAAAAAAGTGCAATTATCATCTCGAGGCAATCATTTCGAACAGCCACCAACAGCTACACTCATTCATCTACCTACCAACCAACCAAAAATAAGAGCAGTAAACTCTCTTCAAATTACAAACTTTCAATTGAGTCATAAAATTTCACACACACACACATAAAATATAATGCCATTTAATTGAAGGACATTGTCCGCCGCTGCTCTCCGCCAGTCTCACCTCTCTACGGTGCATGCCAGCCAGGGGGTGTCTGCGTTTCGTATTAATCCAGCCAAATGGAATGCGATTAAATTTCAATGCTGGCAAATACATATTTAATTAAATATTTCCTTTTTTGTTTGTGCACAAATTAAACGACATATGTAAGCAAAGGACGTTTGCGGGCGGCTGGAAGCCTGACTCTTGTTTACACCTGTATTTCAATTTTTATTGACTTGGCAAATAATAAAGAAAGTGCCAGGGTTTGTTCGCCGTGTGAATTATTTAAATTTATAGCAAAAATATCTTGTTTGAAAGCAAGAGAAGTTATGCATGGAATGCGGAATAATAAAATAGGGAACGAAACGGTGTCACCATTTAGGGGCCTTCAAGATTTAATTTATGGAATAAGGAATATATTTGTATACATCACAGCTGGCTGCAGCTGCTTTCAGTGTTAGATTATATAAATAAAATACTGTTGTGGTAATTAAATTAAATTTCCTATGAAAAGTTGCCTAAATTTCGACTTAAGAACAATATTCCTCCCTGCAACGTGCAAACCCTTTCCAAAGATCCCAACCCTTCCTCCTTCGCTTGCATCAAAACTTTAATCAACGAAAAACCTTTTTTAACACTCCACAAAGCAGGAAAGCGGCTAAAAAAAGATAACTGAATAATCAAAATCATAAACATTTGCCTAAATGGTCTGAGAGCATAGCAAATCGCGCGTCCACGGGCATCATGTACGAGTAAAAACTAAAAACCATGAAGCCTGTGCAAAATAAAGTATTAAGGCATTAATATTCACACGCTCTCTGGACGGACTGGCGGTCAAAGAGTGTGGGGCTCATGACCTGGCCATCTCTCTCTCTCTCTCTCTTAACCCCAAAAGCCCAACTGGGGGCTCAGTCTGAGTCCCCAAATCCGCATCCGCATCCAATCCCCACTGTGTAGCTGGAGCTGACCTTTTTGGCAAAGTGAGCAGCAATAAAAGTTTAAATAGAAGTGGCAACAAACCACAACAGCACTCATCACGCTCCAACGCCATCGTCTGCACCATCAGCAAATGGGGCCAAGCGCAGGTGGCAGTGCCAAAAGTGGGTGTGGCTGGCTGTGGCTGTTTGGCATACGGGAAAAAAAAACGAAAAGAAAAGCCAGGAAAAACCTCAAAGCAGACAAGCTAACAAGGATTAGTGAAGGATGTGGCATTGACCTGAAATATGTTTAAGCGAAAAAGTTTATTTTTCAATGAAAAATCGGCAGCCAAAACCCGTAATTGAATAATTTTAAGGCATTAATTAGGTTTCATTTGTGGGCTTAGTTTAAGCGGGTGTTTAAATAATATGCAAATCATGTTCTAATCTGCCACAGGCTAGTCGCTATTTAATTTGTTTATGAGTTCAGCGAATCGAAAGTGTTAACAAACAATTTTGATAAGCAGATTAAAAATGAAAAATATTTCAGATGGGAATAAGCAATGGCAGGGCAAATGTAGAGTCACAAAACACATGAGAAGGTGGGTTTATGGAATGTTTTCTGTAGCTTTTAGGGAGTTTTAAATGATAACTCTACTCATTGGATCATTCTTTATATACTTATCGAGTAATATCGAGTGGGTGAGCTCTATCTAATGTTTAATTTAATATCAAATCAGTTTAATTATTTCATTTCTAAGCTTTTATCCATTAACTTGGCTTTTGTCTCTTTTTCATTCACATTTCCTTTAAACTCTTAGTACCCATAATTCCCTCTAACCAACACTCACTTCATTAGTGTTGAAAAATGTTGCCTGCCACTCTCTCTGCCTTCTGTTTGGGGCACTTTTTCACTCAGTTTTTCCATGCATTGTTCTGGGTTAAAGAGTAGAAGTAATAATACTCAAATAAAACATTTACAGGCACAGACGACGAAAAACTGCAAATGACATGCCGCTGGTGGCACGAAGGGGGGAAATGGCGAAGGAAAGGCATGGGTCTTCTGCGGTAAGGCCACAAAAACAGAGTCGACTCTCGCCGACTCTCGTTGTCGTTTTGTCGTTTTTGGGGCTTGAGTCAAGTGGAGTTTGAAGGAGCTGCAAGTGCACTTCATTTCGTTATCCCCACACAACAGCCCTAGCCCTTTTTCCACACAGTGCTCTCTCTCCCACACAGTTGCCTCATAAATTGAAACCGAAAAAAAAATACGCTTGTGGCAGGCATTCAGGCAGGAAGCAGGCAGGCGCATGAAGTGCACACTTGAAGGTAAGAACTGCCTACAGAAATAACCTGGCGGCAGCGACGGTGGCGGCAGCGACGGTGGCGGCACACGAATAGATAAAGACTACAGCCCAAGGGGGGAATCGGGGGTGACAGTGAAGCACGGTGGGTGGCAACATTTAGTACACTTTACCTGCTTGCTTTAGCCTGGCCCCTCTACTGCCACTGCCACAAAACAAAACAAAACCGCAAATGCGACAAAAGCAGAATGCAATTCGCACTTGAAACTCTGCGGGGCAACAACAAGAAAAGCGCCAGAGAAAGAGACAGAGAAATGAGGAGGAAATATGGAGAGTGAAATAAAGAGAGAGAGATATACATAGAGAGTGAAATATATAGAGTGACATAGCGCAGAAGACAGAGAAAACGAGTCTAGTTTTGTGGTAAAAACAAAGAACTTTCCGTAGGCAAAAGTGCGCGTTTGCTTTTCTACTAGTTATACGCTGACAAAAGGATATAAAGGCTTTGAAGAGAAGTTTGCTCCCTTGAGAATTCTTAAATATATAGTTTTTAACCTAACAGCAGATAATTTCTATATAATTTCACAATTTCTATTTACGCACTCTATAGCGACTGAATTCGACCAAGATCGGTTCATCATAAGTGATATAATCTGTAACAGTGCGGGGAAACAATAAGACCTATTCTGAGGCAATTCTTGGCAAGAAAATCTACGAAACTCCATCAAAATTCTTTACATACCCTGAAAGAGTATCCTGGCAGCTCCTCTACATCCATAGCAGACTGTACTTGTTGTTTTGTGTGTTTTTTCGGTTTGCCCCCCAATTTGCTGCAGAAAATGAAAATTTAAATTTTTAACCAACGGCGGAGTCGAGTCGAGTCGAGGAGCAGAGTGTAGAATGAGGCTCAGAGCTGGCTGGCCCAAAAAGTTTTAACAGTTTTTGCTGCAGCAGCTGCAGCTGGGAAATTTCGCACATTTCCCACAGCGCATTTTCCAGCGTTTTCCCCCTTTCTACATATTCTTGGCGTCCTCTTATGTGTGTGTGTGTGTGAGTGTGTGTGTGTGTCTGTCAACCAAGAAGCCTTCAATCTGAACGAGCGAGAGTGATGAATGGAGAGAGTGGTCCGAAGCCCAAGGTGAACTCCGGAGGGTTTGGGGCACACTCCTTGCGGCTCTCGTTTTAATTTAACATAATGAAAAGGGAAAATGTAGAATGATTGAGGCACTAACAGGAGGGACGCAGGGAAAGCTGCCCTATAGCTTCCTGTGTGTGGCATAGCCACGGCTTTGTTTTATTTTTCCAGCTAACAACAACAATCATCGTCATCATCATCATCAGCAACTGTGGGGGGCTAGGCCAAGGAATGCACATCCGACACCGTGTATCCTGCCACTTCAGTTTGCCACCCAGCGCCAACGCCAGTTGCTGCCGCTGCCACCTACCGGCAGAGCATGCAACAAATGCCTCGAGTGCATAACTGGCTGGCAAACACACACACACACAGAGCACCAAGCACCAGCTACCAGCACAATCCCGTCCCGGCTCTCTAACACTGACTCTGGCATAAATCATGGCTGGCATTTGCATGTTGCCCCTGCACACACACACAAACAGCTAATCTGTGTCCTAGCCAAATGTGGAAGTGCATCCTTTGTATGCTTTTGTTTACTTTTCATGTACTTGCTCAATTAAAAAATTGCTTCAACCGATGAGGGGGAATGGGGAAGACTTTGCCTTGCGGCAATTAATACGTTTCGGCCCTGCGGCGGTCTGTTCTAATTGCATTTGCGCACGTAATGCCGCAATTTAAAGTAGATTCTATCAATCGTCGAGTAACTTTATGCATGAAATCTATGTCAAATAGACATGTAACTTTCAAAATGTATCAAATAGAATCAGAATTATTCACAATTTCTTTTAGACAGTCACTGCCGTTGCTTGCTACTCTCTCTTTCGCTTACTCTTCTTCTCCACATGCAGCTGCGTCTGCGCTGCCTGCTGCTGCTGCTGCTGCTGCTGCAAATGCCTTGGTGGATGTGGAAAGCCCACGGGGAAATCAGTACCTGGCGGCCGTGGGGTATACGAAGGTCCTCGCACCATGCAAATGGGACATTTGTGGCCACCATCTTCAACGGTCGCCGTGGGATGTATTTTCAGGTACAAGCACATCAATCGATGGCATATGTACAGTATGGGCAGGAAGAGCAAGGAGCATAGCAGCATGCCCACCCAGGCATTATTCTGCAAAGATATCATATTAATAAATATGTATTTATTGACTTTGATAGCTCTACTTACGAGTGGATTAACAAGACGCTCGCAAACGAAACTAACTCCTCGATAATAAATGTAAGCGAGTGGCTGACAATGGCCGACATGTACATTGGCTTCATTAATTATCATATCAAGATATTCCCTTATCTCTTTGTTGATGGCATCGGTTAGATTCTGGGATAAATTGTTTATGTACTCCTTGCCACGCTCTTGAATAAACTTCTCCGCTCTCAGTACCGCATCGAGCAATGTGTCTATCGAATCGCCAAAATCCAAGTTTTCATACAATATCAGTTGATCGACCTTCGGTATGTCACGCTGTATCTTCTTCACTAGCGCCGAGCACCTGTCGTCAAATGTGTTATGTATGGCCTCGGCATCAATACGGGCATTATGCAAGGCCACATGGGCATTCCAGTAGTAATAATGCAAAGTTTTCCAGCCTTTATAGTAGGGCGGTCTACTGCCATGGTATGTCCAATAATTTAATTTACTTATGAGAACTTCTTCAGCGATTTTGCGAAGACCCTCCGATATCTTGGGCACCAAAGTGTGCGGCGTCACAAATTTAGTGCACAAATGTGTCAGGTAAGAACTGGAGTGATAGGTCGATAGATTGCCATCGCTCACTTCCCTAAGCAGCGTTTTTTCTTCATCAGTCAAGAGGTAAATCATGGACAGATCGTCGGTAAACTCTTTCGTTTCTCTGGGATCATCGAGTGACATCTGCAGGCGTGTCAAATCGTCAATATTGAAAAGATCATTCGAACGCAGCAGCTGAAAAATGGATTCATTTGCCTGGCAGTGCCTAATGGCATACGACATACGCATGGGTGGCGCAACGGTTTCATCAGTGAGCGGGGAAAACAAATTTAGATCGATCAACGAGTCAAGATGACGAAAGAGTGTATTCTTGTCGCCCTCGCTAGACGGTGCGCAGGCACCCTCATAAGTCACCAGACCAAGTAGCAAGTAAAATAATGCAATCAATGTGATAAAGGAGTAAATACAAAATATGATAATCATGGCCCTGAAGGTGACGTATCCAATCTTATTCTAAATCTGAAACTTATTCTTTAATGTAAACTTACATGAGCAAACAGGAGGCGCCTGTACCCTTGCTGCAAAATCCAAATGCACCCGCTGTCGTTCGACCTGGCCCAAGGCAGCCGCATAAGAGTCCCGAAATTAGCACTATGATTAACTACGGGTTATCCAATCGATAAGCAATAGCCAATTAAAGAAAACCATTTGTACTTACTATGAACAGTAAAACGCATGTAAATTCGTAAATTTGTTCACGATCTTGGCCAAACTTTTCGTACACATCGTCGTATGTCTTTGTCGTGCGCATCGTATTTAAATGAATATCACTGATCACAGCATCAACTATGTTGCGTATTTTTGAGGCATATTTAAATAGAACGCCACGTCCCCTGCCAATATCTCGCCGCAATGGCGGAATGATAAGTTCCATTTGTCTACGGATTTTGTCACTAACCAGCTTGAGGCGCGCAATGCCCCTCTTTGGTATTTCAAAATATTTTCCCTTAATAATCTTTTCAATGGCTTCTACATAAAATGTCGTATTGGGAACCTACACGGAAGAGTAGATGGGGTTAGTTTGTATAGTCTGTAGTGAAAGATATTAAATACCTGATCATAGTACAGACATCTCGAATAAGGCAAACGTGTAATATGCCCATAACGATGGTACAAAAAGACATCTCGTCTTTGAATTAAGGTGGAGCATGCATGTTCAACATCCCGCTTTAAACCACGAAGAACTGAAATGAAAGTAACGAAATTTACGATAAGAAATAATGCAAAATCATTGTCAACCAAACCCAAGTGAATAATTACCATAACGATATTGTGAGCCACAGAAGCGTAATTCCTTCTCGTTAAAATCCACATTACGCATGATGAATAATGCTTTTGGCATGTTGTCCAATATGCGCTCCAATTCAGCCAATGCATTACTATCAGATGTGTCTGCGAGATCCAGAAAAATGTGCTTATCCGCGTCTTGGGATAGTGGAGAATGTAGAGAAGGAAACGGGAGGAAGGTCGTTTGGTAGCAACTTACTTTCCAATACATCGAGAACGTGCGTCTCCAGTTCCATAAAGTTTTTCACAAAAAGATGTGTAATGTGATCGGCCACATCCTTTAAGAAAACGCAAGTGTCCTCGCTGCCGCGCTTCATTGTCATTGTAGAGTCATGAAATCCACGATTCAGAAACTTGTTCGACACAAACGCAACATAGGTACCAAAGCTGAGGATATTTCGAAGCCATAACACTCAGAGCCAGACCAGACCACGACCAAGACTATGACTCACCATAGGCCAGCGACGAGGATCGCTAGGCATGTGCCGCAACACATGCGCCGCCGAAAGTCCACTCCGGTGGTGCACGTCGGACATCCCTGCTTGCAACGACGACAGCAGCAGAGGCAGCAATAGCAAACACTGCAACAAATGGGAGAAGAGGCAGCAAATGCTGGTTACTCTTCATGGAAGAGGTGCGCTGTACTTACCCAATACATGGAATAAGTATGATGCCGGTTATAAGGAATATCACGAAGAAAAGCAGCAGCCAGTAGCGGGCCAATAGGTCGGACCAATCGTTTTGCTCCACCTTAGGGCCCAGAGCCACCACATCATCGCCCATAACCTTAATGTATTCTGAAGCAAAGAATCCAAATTGACACATTAGATGTATAAATCAGTCCGCGATTTGATACTCACTTTGTGGCAGCACCGGATCGTCGGTGAACACCAGTTTGAAGAGACTGTGCGTAAAGTTGTAAATGAAATTCACAGATTCGGTTGGCGAGGAAAGATCCCGCGAGTAGATGGGATCCCCCTCGAACTTTGTGTAAGCGACGGGTGGCCAGTGCAGCTGTCCAATCTGTTCGTGTGTCGTACCGTCACCCTCGTAGCCCGCACGCCACCACGATGGAGTTCCTGTGTCAGCAGGCGCCTGTGTTGTGGCTGCTCTTGGACCTCGTGGATCGTACTCTACATTTCCATCGGGCACCTGAGCTAGGGCAAGCATCAACAGTGAAGCCAAAACGAGAACATACAGCAGCCCATGGTCACGCTTTGTTCGCCGGTGTGGGAGCGGCGGAGTCATCCTGTGTCAGCTCCTTGTTTATGTGGTTTGTGTGATCCTATGTGTGAAAATATGGAGTAGAATAATTGTTTTGTGTTGAGCAATGGGGGTATAATGATTACTTCATGACAGGTAAGTCTCTGAAGCTGGTTTGGTTTTACTTTCTACGATCTGTTGACGATCGCGCCTGACACACACCTTATCCATGGAAGATTGGTTAAGGTTGGAAAGACCTACATAATTTTTTAATCAGTAAAGAATAAATATATTTTTTATAGCTCTCCCTCTATTAAATCATTTCTAATGGTAAGGTCTGCTGTGGAAACGGGGAATGTATGATATGTGTAGGGCGTCTATGGTAAAAGGAGAGCTGAATTTACGCTAAAAAAGCTTCATGCCATTCCTTTAAGAGCATTCCTTTAGCCTTTTGCCTTCATCCATAGCTGAACAGCAACTGTTACTTTATTTGGCCAAGAAGCGCAGACCTTTTCGGTGTTCGTGTTATGAACAAATTCGAAGTGGAAGCCGAAGTGAAATCTCTTTCGCTCAGAGAGCAACGCAGGCGCCAAGAAACCAAAGAGAAAACTCTACAAAACGGACAAGAAATTCATAGAGAGAGAGAGATTTATAAGACCCAATGCATCAGTGTAATGTGGCACCATATGCTCATACTGGTAGATTAGGTTTATTATAAGCATGGAGATCTATTAAAAAATCATTTGACCAGGCATCAGCTAGCTTTGGAAATGGGTCAAGAAAGCTTTGTAAATTCTTAGAACATATTTGTCAAAACTTTCCAGGCATTATTGTGGATGGAAAGCATCCCTTTTCCTGTAAAGAAAATAATGTAAAAATGATTTGAAATCGAGTATTAAAGATGTAATCTTTCTGTGTTTATTTATCCACTGTACTAATATTTCAGAGAAATTTCAATCAAATCTTATTTTGTTCATCCATCCATTAGGAATTCTCTAAACTTAAAAGGCATTTATTTCCATACCCTTTTTCATTTCAAACAATCTATCCTTCTTTTCATCAATTAAAATTCAATTGAACTCCATCAATACTTTGATAACTACAATCAAGAGCCTTCCTTACATTTCTGTAAATTTCGTTCATTCAATGTAATATTCTCTTTTTCATTACAATTCAATTAACTCTTCAATCAAATTCATTTTTCAATAAATATTTTTCATTTTCCAGTATCTTTCTCTCCGTCAATTTCGAAAATATTTTACGCATACTCGATTAATTCATGAATTTTAGGTCATGAATTTCTCAATTTGAGAATTTGTTGGGGCTCTCCCACTCTCTTTCTCTCTCTCTCTGTCCTCTTACTGGGTTTTCTCCCTCACACTTTTCTGGTTATATTTCCTCTGTTTCAATTTGTAGTTCAACCCAACCATGTAAAAATATTTTCATCAGAAAAATAAATCTCAACATAAACATTCCCACAAAATGGTACAAAAAATGTATATTTTTAATTTTACTGATGATTGTAGCCTGCACGAAAAAAAGAAAACACGCACACAAAGAGGTAGCCAAAAAGGTACACAAATTCTTATCATGAAACGTTGCAAAAAATGTGTGCAATTAAAAACTCCCCCCAGAACACAAAACAAAAAGAGAATCCAAAAACTGAGCGACTATCTTTCGTAAAAGGGAAGCAGCAGGGGAAACATGCAGATTCTGGCTAAAGCAAAAGGGTAAACGGAACTAAAAGAAGGTCCTGGCTGGATGCTTGGAAATCATTGGATTTTAATTAACAGTATAGAAAAAAAGAAGGAACAGTGCGGTGGCAAACAGAGCACAATGGCAAAGGTCCTTTGGCTTTGGGGCACAAGAGGATGCACATGCATATTATGTGGAATACTCGTACTGCTTTTGGGTTATCCTTTTCTGTTCTGTTCTGTTCTGTTCGGTTTGGTTCGGTTCTGTTTGTTTGCTCCGTGACTTTGAGTTCTTGCGATAGTTCTGGGGCAAACATTGGTTGCTACTTGATTGCATTTTTGTGGAGTTTCTTTTTTGGCATTTAATAGTTCTTTTTTATAAAGGGTAAACGTAAAGGATATTTGGGTATGTTGTGTTGGTGGAATGTAGTCATAATGTAGGACTCCCAGAGGTAGCTGTAGATAATATTCGGAACAGATATGATGGTGCCAATGCCCAAACAATTATCTTACAAACATATTTTTCATAATTTTTCTTTACATTAAAAACTTCTTAGAAATCTGTACATGGGCATTTTCAGCGTCAAACCATCTCCCTAAAGCGTTTCTCAGTTATTTTTTAACCTCCATCTTAAACAAAGTAAATCTCTGGACGAGCTCTCGAGTGTACGTCATGAATCAAGTGCCCCGCCTGCATAAACCCCATCCATGGCACTGAGAGTCCGTCCTGCCTCGTTGCTGTCGGGCGACACACGCACCGGGTCAATTTCATGCAACACAAACAAAGTGGCAAGGGGGCTCCAGAGCTGAGGGGAAGCCGTCAGCCGCCCTCAGTTCCGAGTAGCTTTTCCCGTCTTGCATGTAGGACACGTTTGAGGCATGCCCCAAAGCCCGCGTCCCCTTTGAGGGGCAGCCAGGCGGTCTCGGTCGGGCAGGTGCTCAGCTGTAACTAAACGTCCGTTTTAACATTGCCACCTGATGGTTGCCCTCAGTCTTACTTCCACAATCCTGCCACCCAATGGCACAGCGTGTGTGTGTGCGGCATGTGGCATGTGGCACATGTCAGGGGCTGGTCACGTCTGCTGGGGCATAATTGATAGTTCAATCTGTTGCAGATCAAACGCTTGACAGCAGCCAACAGATCAAGCTGAAAAATTGTTCCACAAAAGCGAGAGGGAGAGAGAAATTCTGCAGAAATTTGATTGCGGGTAAATGTGTCTCAAAGATACTGCATCTGAGGCGTGCCCCACGTAAATTGTGGCATACTTAAGTGTAGCAAAGCAAACACATTTGGGTTGACCAAGGTAATACCTTAATGAATACATTGATTAAATGGTTTTTGGGGTGAATACTGTAGGGGCACGCTTTAAAGTTTCTATTAAATACAAACGAAGTTGTTGATATATTTTTGTTGCCTTCTTTCTCACTGGGATAATTTCATATTTATTTTAAAAGCCTTTTGGACTTTCATCCAGCCAGCCAGTAGCACTTTACTTAGCCATACTTCGTGGCCGTTTTGTCAACTCAAAAAGGCGGGTTGGGAAAAACTGCGAGAGTTTTCCTCAATGGCATAAAAACATCTTTCAGCCAAATAGATTTGTATGCTTTTAAGTAATTTGCTGCACAAATTGAAAGTCTTTCAAGCAGCAGCAGCTGCAGCCTTTGGCGCAAAACTCTTGGCTTTAGCTCAAACTTTGGGAACATTCCCCCCCCCCCCCCCCCCCCCCCCCCCCCCCTCTTATCGTCCTTCTTCGTTCTCTTCTCTTTTTTTTTTTTTTCTTTTTTTGTTTTGTTTTCTTCTTTTTTATTTCCTACTTTTGTTTTTTGTTACTTCATTTTGTTTATTGGCGCACTTTTATTTGTGTAATTTACGCCGTCGAGTGCCGATCATAAATTGTGACACGAACTGCACGGAGAGAACGCTCTGTTCCACCGTTCAAAGGTCACGTTGTCTCATTAAAGTCCCGCCAACAGCGACTCCGAACAAGAACAATAAGTGTAATAACAAGGGCAATAACACCCACCAGGACTCACCCTGCAAGCAGCACACATGTCAGCGGGAAGGAGGCGGTAGAGCGCGTACAAGGCCAACAAATGATTTACCTTTGAGCTGGAAAGACAATAAAATGGAAAATGTTAAAGGCATTTGCTGGGATATAAAATATAATTTGGTACCTTAAAATATAAAAAATATAGAGGGCACCTTTAAAGTTAAGATATTACAAGAAGTCTAGCCTAAATATGTGAAGGAGACATCTTAAGCTTTGATTTAAATATATAAAAACAAAGAAAAGTTCACCCAATTAATTGAATTAGTAGGAATATTTAGTGTGTAGTCTGTCATTGGGGATAAAAGCGTTACTATTAATGACTAAGACTCATTGTGGATACGATCTTTAATTATTATATGCCTTTGGAATGGTTTAAAATTTAAAGATAAGACAACCCACAGATAAGACACGTTTGCAGAACTTGTTGTCTATTTCGTTGTTTAAATTTGCTGTCTAGTTCTTAATGGGAATTTACTTGATATATAATTTCATTGCTTGACTTAGGTTTACCCGCAGAAAATACCAAGAAAACCAATCACAATGGCACTTCCTGCTCTTTTATTGTTAAAAATATAAACGTCCGGCCCATAGATAGCACACTGAAAATGCGCTAGTTCTTATGTACTTATTCAATAAAACCATTCAAGGCAATGGGAGTACCCAATCAATGTCCCACACCAGTTCTGAATAATACGCGTGTATTCGCAGATAATCATCGAAACTAAATTAACTTTAAATTGGTAACATCTTTAGCGATGAAAAATGAAATTCCAACGAAATTCGAAGAATTTCTAATTAAATCTAATCAAGCTGTCATTAACATGCTATCAATTTCATATCAGTGGAAGAACTCAAACTATAAGCAAAGCACACCCATGAATGAGCAGCTCAGTGTGGAATTAAACGTTGAAGAATAAACTAATGGAAGTAGCCAATAAATAAATATAAAGATATGCAAGGTAAAATTCTTAAATATTAAATATTCTAATTAACTTCCATTTGTTTGTGTTTGTCTTTCTTATAGTTAATACTGTCAATCTCTTGACATGGCTCCTGCTGGTGGTAGCTCTCGTCTGGAGCTGGCAATTCGATGGAGCTGTGGCCATGCCACATGTTGAACCGCGCCATCAAACCTGCGATAATGAGCGGCGATACGAGAATCAGGTCATGTGCGAGGGCAAAGCGTTTGGCGCACTGGTGCCATATCCGGATAATTGTAGGCTTTTTCTCGTCTGCGATTGTCTGTATCCCACGGTGAAGCAATGTCCTGCCGAGCTCTGGTGGGATAATTCCACTCAGATATGCAATTATCCGCAGTCGGTGAATTGTGTGTACTACACGATTGAAACACCCGAGCCCACGGATGGAACTACGAGAATTACATCGGGAATTATCACTGAATCAACACCTTTGAGCACGCCAAGTGTCACCAAAGAGACAACAACTTTGAGCACTCCAAAAGTGACGGACGTTCCCTGCATAACACCCACAACATCACCTCCTACATCCAGCTGGGATCCGCCACCACCGCCGCCTGGCACTCCCGATGATTTCTGTAGACCGTATCCGGATGGTTCGGTGCATCGTTATCCGTACGATTGCCAGGCGTACATCAACTGCACCCATGGCTGGCCTGTGCTCAACTATTGCATCCAGGAGAAGGTCTTCAACGAGTGGCTTCTAATCTGCGATACTCCCGACACAACCGAATGCGAGGAGCTGCCGTTGCCCACTGTGCCGACAACTACCACTGTGGCTCCTACTTCCACCACTACAGAATTGCCTTTAACTTCCACCACAGCAGCAGAAGATGTAGAATGCGGACCCACTCCAGAGTTTGTGGCTGAGGATTACTGCCAGCCTTTGGGTAATGGGTTCTACGAGTATCCCTACAATTGCAGTGCGTATCTCTCATGCCGCAATGGCTGCACGGATTTGGATTATTGCATTTCGGATAAGTTGTTCAATCCATGGCTGCACATCTGCGATACTCCCGATTCTGTGCACTGCGATCCGCAGCCATATCCAACAGTTCCACCAACTTCCACGACTCCTGCGAGTACGACAACTTCTGTGGATGTTTCCACGACTGACAGCATCACTGCCACTACAGAGGCAGTCACTAGCACCACGCAGGGACTGCCCTCCGATGTGAATCCGAATGATTGTAATGGTCTTCCCGATGGCAGTCGATTGCCATATGCCGGCAACTGTTCGCAGTTTATTCTCTGCAAGGAAAATAGCGTGGAGATGGGCCAATGTCCACCTTCGACGCTCTTTAATCCGGATTTCCTAATCTGCGATGAGGCTGATGATGTCTTGTGCTATGGCGATCGCACCACCACACCGATACCCACCACAACAACCACTGAGGCGACCACACCCACGCCCACCACAACGACAACGAAGGCCACAACACTGGGACCCGCGGAGCTGTGTGCGGGGCAGGATATGGGAACATCCTATCCGTATCCCGAGGATTGCTCACAATACTATTTGTGCCTGGGAGGTGCACAATGGGTACTGGCGCCCTGCATTTATGGCAGCTACTTTGATCCCAAGACAATGAATTGTGGCCCCAATGTCTCTCCGACGGCCTGCCAAGAAGGAGAAGCTACGACAGCAGCGACCACAACCACCGAAAAGATAACCACACCCACACCCACAACGGAGAAACCCTCGACAACCACAGGGGCAACAACGACAACAACTCAAGCGCCATCGGGTGGCATTTGCGGTGACCGAGATGAGGGTGAAAATATCGCCTATCCAAAGGATTGCAACAAATACATCGTCTGTGTGTCGCCCATACCCATTGCCTTCTACTGCCCAGCAGGATCCTACTTTAGTTCCAAGTTCCAAAACTGCGCCAGCTGGGAAGACAGCGATTGCGATCAGGATGCCAGCACCACAACGGCTAGCCCAGGCATAACCCAACCACCATTGGAGCCAACTATGTGCACAAACAGTAGCCGCGATACCTTTCCCTATCCGGACAACTGTCAGTGGTTCATTCGCTGTGTGGATGACTACATCTACATGATGGACGTCTGCAACTGCGGGGAGTTCTACGATCCTATTAGCGGCAAGTGCGGAGCAGATGTTCCATCCGATGCCTGTCGCTGGGACTATACATCCACCACGACAACCACCAGTGAACCGACCACCAGCACAGCGGTAACCAGGCCGCCACCGCAGAAGAACCCTTGCGACAATGTTGCGGATGGTGCTTTGGTGCCGTATCCCAATGATTGCTCCAAGTACATCAAATGCGATCGCCCCATAGCAACGGCTTTCGACTGTGACGAAGGGGATGAGTTCAGTGTGGAGCTGGGAAAGTGTGTAGACGCTTCTATAGCCGGTTGTTCAGTTACAACCACTGTCAATCCTTGGGGATCGACAACGCCAACGATACCATCGACAAAGACAACCACAGGGGATTCTTCAACAGATTCTTCGACGGAATCGTCTACAGACTCTTCGACGGAATCTTCAACTGCTTCCTCTACTGTCTCTTCCACTGATGCTTCCACGGAATCATCAACAGATTCTTCCACAGATTCCTCCACAGCTTCATCAACCGTTTCAATCACCACTCCAGAACCAGATTCTACTGCAACAGCGCCTGGAACAACCACCACAGATTCACCAACAACACCAAAACCATCTGGCGGAGTGTGTGAGGGCAAAACGGATGACTCTCTGGTGCCGTATCCCAATAACTGCAGCAAATATATCATGTGTCACTACCCGATTCCTGTGGCCTTTGACTGTGGCGACGGTTTGGAGTTTAGTCCAACGGAATTGCAATGTATGGATCCTGATTTGGCAAATTGTAGTCCGAAGGTGACAACTCCTACAATACCTACATCTACGACTACGGAATCTTCAACAACGGAGTCTACTACTACAGAGTCTACAACAACAGAGGAACCTACAACTAGAGAACCTTCGACAACAGTGTCCACAACAACTGAGCCTTCGACAACTGAGTCTACGACCAAGGAACCATCCACCACGGAGTCTACGACCAAGGAACCGTCAACAACAGAGTCTACAACTAAAGAACCTTCCACAACAGAGTCCACATCAACTGAGCCTTCGACAACTGAGTCTACGACCAAGGAACCATCCACAACTGAGTCTACGACCAAGGAACCGTCAACAACAGAGTCTACAACAGCGTCTACAACTAAAGAACCTTCCACAACAGAATCCACATCAACTGAGCCTTCGACAACTGAGTCTACGACCAAGGAACCGTCAACAACGGAGTCTACGACCAAGGAACCGTCAACAACAGAGTCTACAACAGTGTCTACAACTAAAGAACCTTCCACAACAGAGTCCACATCAACTGAGCCTTCGATAACTGAGTCTACGACCAAGGAACCGTCTACAACGGCGTCTACTACTACGGAGTCTACTACTACAGAGTCTACAACAACCGAGGCATCAACCACAGAGTCAACCACCAGGGAGCCTTCAACAACAGAGTCTACAACAACCGAGCCTTCAACAACTGAATCTACCACAAAGGAACCGACTACAACAGCGTCCACTACCCAAGAACCCTCCACTACCGAGTCTACTACACAGGAGCCCTCATCCACTGCCAAGGAACCAACTACTTTGGACCCCTACACCCCCAATATTTGCTGTGGCCTTCCTCTGGGAACTCTGTTGCCATATCCGAATGATTGCATGCGTTATGTGGTTTGTGATTATCCCATTCCTTATGCAGTCGATTGCGATGAGGGAACTTTCTTTAACGAGAACTTGCTTCAATGTACAGCCATGCCAACTGAAAGTTGCATCTACAAAAGAAGATAAACAATATTAGTAAATTTAATAAAACAAATAACTATGCATTTAAGTCTCACCTTTTTTTCCATCCAAAATCAATTGTCTAAGTGCACAAATGCTTAACCATTGAGTGTACACTTTTAGGGCTTTTCAATCGGGGTATTTTTTTGAATGTTACTGCTATCAATTACACGTAAACCCTTTTCCCTAATTTGTCACACAAAAAAAAGAAAAGAAGAGACAGAAAACGAGTGGTAACCGAAACGTAGATAATTTACCACTTAACAGGCAATTCCCGTGACAGGGAACAAGCCGATTGGCATTGTGTAAGTGGAAGTTACCTCCTGGAAGCCCCACAAATGCACAGGACGGGAAACAGGATGGGGCATATTTTTAGCAACAGGCTAAAAGCAATTTCTCCCCCTCGCCAATTCTACATACGAGTAATATTCTTTCGCTTACAAGTTACAGCCATTTATCGTAGTTTGATACACACTCGCAGCCCTTGCTTGGCGGCACAAAGAGAACTCCTCGTCTAATCAGATTTGGGGTTGGCCACATGAAAACACAATTGCCAGGGAATTATCTGAGGGGAATACTCGTGCAACTTCTAGGGGGAACAAAGACAAGGAGAAGGAAAAGGAAAAAGCAAGAAAAAAGGAAGCCAAATCGAGGACAAGGAGTGCGAGGCAAGTTATGTATGGGAGAAAGGCAATGACAGTAACGACACAAAATGAACACAATTCGAGCAAATTGTTTGGCAATAATGTTAACTTAATGCGATCCATTTGTCGCACTTCAATCGATAGACAAGGAGCGCTCCTTGGCACGCTCCACTCTCAAGTGATTTGTAACGAAACCCAACAAGGATTTGTTCTTGCTGGGTGGATAATCGGGTGGTTTTCTAAACTCAGCAACAAGTCACATGAACTCTAACCTGAAAACCATTTAATTAAAGATAAGCCTACCGACTTATAGAATTTAAATGGTATTTCCAGTGAGCGCCATAAATTATCTGTTGATTGGCCATAAAAAAACAATTTTCCTAGTTCAATTTCGTCAGTTGAATCGCTGCCAAGTGTGTAAGCTGCCAAAAAAGCCAAGTGCCAGAAGTCCCAAAAAACTAAACTCATAAATGTACCACTTGACGTTTGCTTTTGCTTAATCTGTGCCAAGTTTTCAAGACATTGTATAGCCAGAGCTTTAGAGAGTGCATAAACAACACTTGAAACTAATTATAAGGTAAGACATTTGCTGGACATTTTTCACAACACAAGTCAACTAAGTGGATGGGCTGTGATGGCATAAAAACTTTTGTCTCAACTTTTGACACTCAATGATGGGCAGAAATTACTAACAATTATCCCAAAATCTCAGTGGCACACACATCACAGAGATTACGACAAATTGCAATGGAAACATTTTCCAAAAGCACTACGACATATGTGGGGTTTACATTTATCTCTTCTGCGCCAACCATTAAGGGTTTTGGATTTTAGTTTATGAAAACTTTTCTGCTGGCGCATATTAATGTGCAATATGTACCCCACTATCATCCATTTATGTAAAATGTATTTTATAGTTCCCGCGAGAATGCCGCCATGTTGCATGCCCCAGACAGAAAGTTGTTCGCCTTTTTCTCTTCTCTTTGCAGCCTTCTGTGTATTGTGTGTGTGTGTATTCCATATTAAATGGCATTTATCCAACATATAGGAAAAATTCATCGTGAAAATTTGTAACTTTTGCAATATTTACATTTACAAGTGAAAATTTTATAAAAAGCTTATGCAAAACCGGAAAAGAGGTTTATGAAAATTTATGAAAACATAATCAAATGTTATGGCCAGTTAGGGGAAACTCCACTCAACCGAAACGAGCCGGACTATACTGTATTTCTGGACTTTGGAGTTTCATCTGCTGCAGGGGGTGTGTTGGTGGAGCCTTAAAATTCAGTTAGTTTGGGAATTCAGTTTGCAGTCGAGGTTCAGTGGTCTGCAAACTATGCAGTTGCCTTGATACAAATAACATTTTATGTACATACGTTAGAATGTAGAAAGTAATTGAAACGGTGTAAGGTTCATCTTTAAACTAAGAATTACTAGAGTGCCGAATATGCCTAAATGTAACTTGTAAATGTTTTACTAAATAATTTTAGATACCTGAAAGAGACCCTAAAAATACGGAACCCACGAAATCTTTAATTTTCTAGTTTAATCTGAAAGTTTCCCCATGAACTCGAACTTTTTTGAGCTAAGACCTCTCTCTCATTTCCGAATAAAATCATAAAAACCTTGACCAACTTCCCTGAGCAACTTTCCTTGAACTCTGCGTAATTTTCCTTCACCTGTAAGCAGTCCCTGTCCCATTTTCATATCCTCATACTTGCACTACCATCCTGTGACAAATCCATCCACTTATCCCGGAAACCCAAACGGAGGACCCAAATCCCCTCCACCGCTGTGTGATAACAACTTGTAAGCGTTGTCATAACACGATCCGGCCATATAAAAACAAAATTCTCACAAATGTAACGCCCCCGACGCAGGCGTTTAGGTTTTTATGTTCCAGCCACGATTCCTTCTTTATATGACTCCCTCTTCCTGGGGAAGGGCCACCCATGCCAACCATCCGCAACATTCATATTCATAAAAGGCAGCGACTCATCATTATTTGTCAGGGATCCGTGTAAACAAGTCAACGGAGAAAAAAAAACAACCGAGATCCAAACGCAAAAATCATGAGTCACGCATAAAATTTTATGAACTGAAGGCAGAGGCAGAAAAGGGGGCGTGTGGCAACAGTGGCAAGGGGGCTGGTGGTGGAGTCTGTAAGGGATGGTGGAGATGAAGGTGAAGAGCAAATTAAAGTCGACATTTCGTGTACGCCGCATGTGGTAAGGGGTTTTGTGGCTTAATTAAAAATCAGCGTGTGGCACATTTGTCTGCTTATACAGTGCGTTTCATTAGAGTAAATTATTGAATTAACTGGATTATAGCAAGAGGTTTCCAGAAATGCCAATGTACTCTATTTAAAGTGAATAATAAAGAGACACCAACCATTTACTTGGACATTTTAATATTTAATCATTTTATCAATATGACTATCTGGGAGCTCTTTCCTATTATTATTTATTTATACATTAATTTCCAATTCCAATTCCCTATGCTCTTAAATTCACGCCACGCACTGTTGCACTTGCAGTGACGACAATTTTAATTAAATGCGAAATTCCAAATGCGTATTGCCCCGCAGGTGGTATGTTGGTTTAACCAATCTCTGAATTGTTTACCTTTTCTTTTGCTTTATTTCTTACTTTCTGACTTTTTGTTTTATTTTTATATTTGCTTGCATACAAAACATTCATTCTTTTGCCGTTCCCTAAAATCGGAACAGGAAACACAACGACGGTCCATCAGGCAGGCGCTGCAGGAGTCAAGTAAAGTGAGCGGGAGAAAGCAAGAGTGGAGTGTAAGTTTAATCAAATTGATTTCACTCTTTGCACTGCTTTCTCTCGCTCTCTTTTGGTGCTTTTTTAATTAAAGTTTTTTTTTGCATAGATTTCCAAAAAGAGAAAAGATTAAAAGCAAACTGTAAGCCAGAAGTTCCTTTGGGGGGGTTTCCCTAGTTATTCTTCAAGAATTTCCATTGCTCAAAGTTTTTGGGAATTGTAAATTTTTGTTATTACAAGTCTGAGGGAGAGCTCCTTCTGATTCCCTTCCTTCTGCCAAAATTGGCCTTCTTCCGTGCTCCTTCTGTAACGAACTTTATTTTTTTAAACTCAAAGTTTTTTTTCAGTGGCATGCGATATGTGTGTGTGTGCAATGTCTACGCCGAGTCGTGTGTTTATTTAATATCTATAAAACAAATTAAACATTCATATTCCGTTTATTTACTTAGGCAAATTGAGTTTTCGCAGTTGACATTCTGAATACGCAACAACAAAAAGCAAGAGAGAATGCTAGAGTAAAAGGTACAGACACGAGGATACCTAGTAGTCTAGTGATAATTTATAAATTGGACTTACATATCTCTGAATGTAATGAAGTAGGTATGGTAGAGGAAATTCTATGCCAATAGAAAGCACAAAAACACATCCCTAAAATATCACATCTTCTTTTAGAGATAGAAAACCCAGCCTAAGGTATCAAATATTCTTTTAGAGAAAGACAGTCAGAACTTGAGAGCTTAAAACGTCACAATTTATAGATCTTTAAGGTTCTATGGGTTTGGTAACAGCTTTCTTACTGTCTCAAAATACCCAACGATTACCTGGAAAAATATAGAAGTTAGATAGAGGAAAACGCGACGACTTATGTCTGAAAGGCTGCTGGGAAGAAGAGCGTGTCGACCAGAAGAGGGCCAACAAAAAGAGTCAAAAGTTGGCTGTGTCATCCACATCGGGGTTCTGAGAGGTCTGAGAGTCGTTGCTGTAAACAGGAAACGAGTGTCTGTTGCATGCAGGCAAGAGTGACAAATGTCATGAAATATTCAAATTGGCAAAAGTGTCCGCCATGTCGCCTGTCGAAGCCAGTTTCTCCAACACATTTTCGGGTGCCCTATTTTAGATTGCAACTTTAATTGAGGTAAGGGGAAAATGTTCCATTTATCACAGACATAAACCTTAACAGCTCATAATTGGCAATTGAGTGCAATATGGAATATCATAAATATATAGAGGCACAACCAGCACTCAGGAGGTGGTGGAGGGCACACAGCAAATGAACATAAATCAGAAACCTCTAAGCCAAGAAAAAAAAAACATTGGTAAGTTAAGGAGGTTACAACGCACCACAAACAAACATTAACACACACAACAACACTCGTGGAAAATGTGTGTTCGTTTTCATTGCGTAAATATTTAAGCAAACAATAAAATGGAAACAGGAAGAGAAACAGGATTCATGAGGCATGATGCCATGGGGCTGGGGTGGAAGACCCACTCAGTCGTAGCAGGTGTCAAATGTTGCGGCCAAAAAAGAAACAAGCAAAGTCAGTTTTTACCCTCATGTAGTGCTCGCGCTCCCCTTCCTACACATTTGCCGCTCTGCCAGCC